CTGAACTGCAGAACTGCAGTCAGCTGAAGAAGCCTGCAGTGCTGCATTTAACCACTGCGCCACCTCGGCTCGGATTTTCACTGCGTAGATGCAGATGTGAACTCTTACTAGTGGTTGGACTCAAAATGGGTCTTTAATTAATTATGTTCAATTTGTAATAATGAAAATACATCCTGAATATCAGATATTTATATTACGATTCATAACAGTAGCAAAATTACAGTTATGAAGTAGCAACGAAAATAATTTTATGGTTGGGGGTCACCGCAACATGAGGAATTGCATTAAAGGGTTGCGGCAGTGGGAAGGTTGAGAACCACTGGTCTAAGATGAAGACCAGATCACTTGCAATTTATATTCTTCCTTTTTGATTTTCATTCCTTTTATGTCTTTTTCTTCTCTAATATTTCTATTGAGGACTTCTAATGTTAACACGAACAACAGAGGTGATACTGGACAACCTTGTTTTGTCCTTTTCCTTATTTCAATAGAATCTGTCAGTTCTCCATTTATCATTATCTTTGCTTTTTGTTTGCGATATATAGTTTGTATGGTTTGAATGAGTTTCTTAACAAAGCCCATCTGCTCCAACTGTAACAACATAAATTGCCAGTTCACATTGTCAAAGGCTTTCTGCGCATCTAGGAACATCAAAGCCATTTGTTTTTCGGGATGTGCCTCATAATATTCCAAAGTGTCCAGAATTATTCTCATAGTCTTTGTCTCTTTGGCAGGAACCCATTTTGATCAGGATGAATAAAGTTATTTAAATATTTTTTGAGTCTTTCTGCCAATATTGAAGCAAATATTTTATAATCTGAATTTAGCAGGGAAATAGGTCTAAAGTTCTTAATTTGATGTGGGATGGACTCTTCTTTTGGCACAAGCGTAATATATGCTTCTGACCATGATTTGGGTATCCTCATCTTTAACATAACTTCATTCATAAACACTTTTATTAATTTGCTGTCAATTCTGCTCATTCACATCCAGCAAAGTCTTTCAAGGGAGGATTTCTAGTCACAGACCTTATCTAGCTTGGAGAGCTGCCAGGCCGATATCTGCAGAACTTGGCCAGGGGTCTCAGAGAGTCACAAACAAATTAAGCGAATTGTGTCCTGCAAATTCCACTCCCATTTTGCTCCGTTTATTTCCGCCTTACTCTCAAGTCGACCCCTGTTGTTTAGCTGTTCCCTTCGTCTGGCAACTCTGCACATGCACACACTGGGAACTGGCTCCAGTTGATGTCTGATCCTCGTGCTCTGCCCACATGCGTCTTCAAAGATGGCCACCATCCAAAATGGCGACTGTCGACCGCGTGGTCCAAACGCCGGAGCCGGCTCTGATTGAGCCGCTCTTTCCTAATCCATCGGAGCGTCCTGCGATCCCCTCCAATGGAGCAGGGGATCGAACAGTATAGCGGCCTGGAGCCCCTGCCTGCAACCGCCCAGCGGCTCGGGAGCTCCCCACTAGCGCAGCAAGTCCAACTTGTGCAAACAGCTTCTGGCCGAAGACTGAGCTTAATCTGGGGAGTCAGGAGGAGGAGTAGAGGGAGTGGCCTCGAATTCTACCTCAGTTTCCGGGCAAATGGCCATGTTAATACCCAATTGTGACTCCCCGCATGCTTCACTTCGGAGACGAGTGAAAGAGTGGGAGAGAGAAAGAGAAAGAGAAAAAAAGAGAAAGAGAGAAAGAAAGAGGCGCAAACTCATGCAACAGAAGAATGGCTCACCTACCTTCACCACTGGGCCGTAGCGGCAAAAATGTCGCGTCAAATACTGATCCGTGAGGCTTGTCGCTAGTCCGTCCAGCCACACGCAGTTGGTAGGCATGCTCTTTCCAAAGCCCAGCTGGACACACAAGTGGAAAAGAGTCAGTCAGACAAGTAACACACCATTAAACTCATTTCAACAAAACCATTATGGAAATAATCATGCTTCTGAGGCGAGCATCAACAAATCCGACCGTACTCTCTTTGATGCCATTTAGGCAAGCTCACTCCCTGGCAAGTCGATTAGGATACACTTTCCTTGCGTGGTGCTGTGAAACAAAGCAATTAAGGGGGAAGATGGGAAATGCGCCCTGCCATTCGGCCAGTCAGGGTTCCAAATAGCATCCAAAATTAAATCAGAGTCCGAGGCAAAGGGTTCCTCAGTTCCAATTTATTAAAAGAGCCATGTTGGCACATCTGGGAAAACC